ATAAGAAAATACTGACCTGCAAGGTAATGTTCTAAATTGTGGGCGATAATTGTGAAAACAAATTGTAATAAATAAATTTATTCCCTTATTCGCTCAAATTGAAACTTGTAACAAAGAGATTTAAATATTACTTGTTGACTTAAACAATTGGTTTCACTTAGGTCGTGGTGTTTTAATAAACGCTTCAAGAACCTTCTCCCTCGGCTTACTTATGGGACAGTGTAACTGATCTTGCAGTCGCCAATTTTTTTTTTTATCACTTAACGAATTTTTACTCAGTGAATTCACATAACGATGTCCACCACCGAAGGAAAAATGGCGTCTTAGCCTAAACACGAAGACGTTATTCTCTACTCAATACTGAGTCAGTCTCAATATCCTCTTTTCAAACTTCAATTTAATTTTGGCTTATCAAAGCTTCTTTGCCATTTTGCTATTAACTTTTCGAGGCTTACACTGTTTAAAAGTAAATTTTTACATAGCAGAAATGATTTCTTATATATGAACTAGGCGAGACTTGATCCACCAATCAATTTTGTTTTCCAGTATATCATTTTGCTAAGCTCAGTTTTCAGTCGACAGTAATACTTCTTTGGTGAATACTCTAACTACATGTAAATCCGGTTTTTAAAACTTCATTTTCCAACCGCGAAATGCAGACATAATTGCTGTCACTTATCGTCTCAGTTCTGCAACTGATTCGGTAGAACTTTTACACCAGCTTTTGTTCCATTTCTGGTTTTGATATACTGTCCCTTTTGTTTTGCTTTACTGCTAGCTATCGGTCAAATATTCATGAAGGAATAATTCTGTGTACCGGGTTATGATCTCTGACAAAGTGCCCATATGTTCCTTCTGTGAATTTACCAAGGCAACTGAACAAAACAACAGAACAGAACAGGTTCTCAATAAAGCTAGGTGCTGTATTGAAAGATACTTCAGTAGGTCGCCTAGCTGCTGCCTTGTGCAGACATCATGATCAAGGACAATACTCACAACCAATTGGACAAGGTGGCTTTGAACAATAATACAAAGCCGGCACCGGTTGAGGACTGCTACTTCAGCCACAGTGCCGAACAAATGGCAGCTCATAATCGAAATATAATGTTAAAAAGGAAGAAGAATATTTTTACACAACAGAACAAAGTGCTAAGGTCAATGTTGCTGTCAAACGTCTTTAGTGGAACTACCAGCTCAACACAAATGGAAGATCAATTATTATTTTTTGTTAGTCGATTTGATTTGTACGCAACAAAAAATACATTTTGTGACAGTCTTGTTAGGTTACTATCCAGCGCAAATGGCAGCCGATCACTAAACAATGTTCAAGCAAGCTGTCTTTCCTGAGGCATTTAATTTCTAAGAAACACTAAGCAGTAGCGATGGAATTGTGTAAGAATAACTGTATTATTTTAGTTTTTAACTTCGAAGCGTAACTCGCTCAAACTGCTCCACTAAAAGAAAATGTTTTTAAATTTTATTAAGTTTTTGAATTGTGATCAGCAGCGAATCTTGCAGTTTTTAAAGATATTTCAATATCATTTTAGATGCCTTTTTAAATTTTAAGTTGTACACGGCCCCTCAAGCTTTTAGCTTTAAATTTTTATCATATAAAAATAAAGTTTATATCATATTGTTTATATTTTATAACTATAAAAGAGGTCGCCAGCTTTGTATGGGTTTCCGCTTTCCTTGTTGTTGGAATGAGTTTCGAAATATTAATAACCCAATCATTTGCTGAACAGCCTATATCGATCATCGTTTTATCATACTGTGTAAAGTTCTGAGCAATGAAAGACTCTCGCGTTACATATTGTGGGATTTAGTAGCCTACCGAATCGGTTCTTTCGGATGGGCTCAACTATTTAGGGTTCTCTTTCTTCAGGTATATAAAACGTTTTCCTGATGGGAGTCCATCTATCTTTGAATACTAATGATAAAGATGATTTTAGAAAAAAATTCACGAAAACGTTCGAACTTTGTTTTACACAATATACTACAATAGATATTAAAGGATGAAAACTCACTTTTGAAAAGAAACGATTTTTTTACTCGATATCAGCACAGAATTATTAGAACATGAAATCCGCGCGTAAATACGTGCACAACTTGATGTATTTTTGTGTTGTTTTCATTGTTTATCTATAAGGGAAGTCAAGTTACGTTCAACTCGAGGTCGCTTACTTTTAGAGTGTGCCTTCTCTTCGGGATTTGCTACAATGGCTTCAGTGCAATATTGTTACTACTTTCCACCAGGGATTATTAGTTTCTGAACTTCACGGCATTCATTCATCAGTATCCTGATCAACAGTTTAGTTATCGGTGTTATAAGTAAAACTGTTTGAACAGTGAAGGAACTGAAAGCTAGGAAAAGAGGGTTGGAATAATTGCGGTTTGTTATTCCTGGCAATCTGTAAGGTATCTAAAAGTATTCTTGCAAAATATTCTGGCCAAATTACTTGTTTTTCTTTTAAAAAAAAGAAGCTACTCAAATCGTCAATAAATCAAATGACTTTATCTATTTTTCATAATCATGTATACACCCTAATTTTTTCACATATCTTTTCAGATAATTGTATTGTAGCATAAGTTAATTGGGCTGTAGTAGATAGCAGGTCCACAGGAACTTTCAGCTGCCATTTCTGTAACATCCTACTTATTAAATAAAGCATGTACGTATGTACGAGATCTTTCGTGAGTTTATTCTCATATTAGCGCCAACACTTGGCCATCTTATATATTAATTGGCTGGTTCTACTGAAATAGCACATATTAAGAAACACAAAATTCCAGCCTGCAGGAGTTGAGAATAAATAAGATTCCCGATTGTAATAGAGGCTCAAACACATCTACTCTGTAGGTATTCTGTGGTAATCCGGTCAGAGTTCGTTCTTATATCGGTTGAGCTGATACTCTAAGTTTAACTAATTACGGCTTAGTTGTTGACTATTTATGGAGTATGCTAAATCCAGGCAGAAAACGACATACAACAACTGACTTGTTATAGTTCTAGAAAATTCTTCGACTTACAGCACTTAATTCCATCACATATTCATTTGTATTTATGCCACCGAGTTAATTGTGCTAATTAGAAAAATAGTTCTGCCAACCGGGAACTCCCTTAAGTAGGCACAATCCGAATTTCCTGGGGTCGATAAGGGAGATTCACATCGGAGAACAATTATGACTGGTTAACAAAAATCAATCTGGTCTGGTATGCCATTTAAGTTGCTAGAAAGCTGTGTTATCCCTGATAGTGCTGAGTTCAACATTTAAGGCTCAACTGATGCTTTCCACAAAGTGACCTTGCATGTTAGTGAACAATGTCGAACTTGTTCCCAAGGGTATCTTTAACCACCATAATTTGAGAATACATATCCAAAAAAGGAGAGATCAGGCTGAAATCTGTACTTCTGCCAAGCTTTCGAAAGCAGAAGTACGGAATACGTCGAATATCGAAGATGAAATAGTAGCTTTTAAAGCGATAAACCACAGGCTGTGGATTATCCATCGATGATAACGGCTTAGCTTAACCGGCAATTAACCGTGGCTCATTCTATTCAAAGTTTACTTCACAACACTCCTCGTGCATGCATTCAACCTTGTGTGATGAGTACTTAAAAATTGTACTCAAACTTACGGGACCTGCTCTTTTCGTTTATGTAACTAGTTTTCATGTCGCCAGCCCGCTTGTTCGTTTGAGTGACAAATGTGACCCGGAGGGCATGTGTACAAACACCACTGAACGGATAATTAGCTAGGCTAACAACAAAACTTTGAATGGAAACTAATAGTGTTTTTGGTATTCTTATGCCTCGCCATTTAAAGTCCAATTAGTGAATTCAAAAGCGCAGGGAAACTATACACGCTCCATCACGTACGTCTTTTTGTATAGCATGCAGCTAGTGAGGGCTAAGTTTTCTCGACGCGGTTCAGTTCTAAGTTCGCATATTGACGCTAGGTCGGGTTTAGCCGGCGAAGTGGTGGATGAACTTGAAAATGGCTTCAAGTCTTTACCGAAAAAGGTGACACTCTCGGCTATCGTTTGAAAAGATTAAGAATCAACGAGGAGCAAAAACTGTAAATCGCGTTATGTATTAGTGTACGTAAAATAAAGTTAATCTGAACGTAGTTGGTCTGAAGTTTAACGATGATAACTTGGTCTCACTAATCCTCTGCGCTAGTCTTTGACGTTTTTCTGGCGCACAGTCTCGTGAGCTAGCACCATAGTTTGTAGAGGGAACCCTCTACTAACTTTGCTAGCACTCAGAGACTAATGCCTTTAGCCATAGTTACTACTGAATATGCTTTAGCCGACCGTTCAATGGCACCGGAATGCAGCGGAAGAAACAAACAAATTTGATGTGAAGGTTGATGTCTCATGCATTGACTTGAAAAATGTTCCGAACATATAGTTCTTGAGATTGAAGAAAAAAAAAAATTCATATAAACTTTTAATTATAGTTGCTGCGGTGTTTTAATTTCTACAGCCACATCAGTCAAAACAAACTGACATAGGAGTGATCTAACTGACAGGTAATACAATCTCACGAGTTGTCGCGAGACAAAACGAGAGAAAAATACAATTTCCCGCGGCCATATTCATTCTCCGACAGGTTTTTATTGCCCTTCCTTCCCCTCCTTTATTTTGGCTTTCTAGTAGCTCCGTGTCTGATACGTAAGAGCCGTTCCCGCTGCAAGATCAGCCTCACGGGCGAGTAATCACTTTTTGCTACTTACTTGCGAGAGTTTTGGTACACGCGCTTTGTCATCTAGGCGGGACAAACTTTCTTAGCTTATAATGCGCATACAAGCCGATAACTGGACAGATGCTTTGAAGAAGAAGAAGAAGAAGAAGAAGAAGAAGAAGAAGAAGAAGAAGAAGAAAAAAAAAACAACAACAAACAATAGAAAATGAGCATCCTTCCTCNAACAACAGTAAATAATTTGGACTTTACAACTTCCATGACGCATCGTGGAATCATCTTAGGCATTTCCTTTTCTTTTGGACTGTTTTCAATAGTACTCACAGACAGATTGTTTTCAACAGTAAAAAAAAAAAATTGAAGAAAGGAAAACATGTCGTCAAACGACGCGTAATTATCTCATTTGTTGTACCACCAGCGTCGAAGGCATCCTTGGAACTCATTTCACTTTCTCTAGTTTGAGATAAAATGCAAACACAGACGCATAGAAGCGAGCTTACCGTGGGAAAATAAAACGAGCCTTTGTTATTCAAATAATGTGTGTACCCCCGTGTGAAGCGCGTAACAAAAGACTGTCACTAGAATCACTACCAGAAAAGCAAATGCCCTTTTATAAACACACGTGGAGAGAGATGCGTCTAAGCGGACACAACTTCCGTGAGAAAATATCTGGTAATCAGCGCAACAAAGCACATAAAATAAAACTGCAGTGGAAAAGCGCGCTAAGAAGTGGAGTCTACTTCGCTGTGCACGCGTGGTCGGGGCGGATAAATTGCTTAATTTGCTTCGCGGCACTCGCGATGTTTTGCCGCTAATTAAACGAGCTGGAAGTTTGAAAACAACCAGCCAATCACACGAGCTTTCTCACACTCGTCACGCGCGGGTAGCTCCTTAGAGGTTTTGTTGCAGGCGGCCGGCATGTGCCTATTCAGTGCCGACCAATCAGATTCGGACGTTCCCACGGTAGATGTTATTGTTAAGTTAATATGATAGTCCTTAACTATTAAGGTTATTGTTTAACGTTATGTTTCCACTAAAGTGTTTACAAATATTTAACAATGAAGTCACTGCGAAAGCATTTTCTGCAAGGAGGAGTTGGTTTTGTTGACGTTAAATAGTGAACGTAGTTTAAAGACGCAAACTATTCGTCGCGGACGTCGCCAGTCTTGAACTCGCTCGTTTCACTCAGTTTGAATTGAGAATTATGGCGTATCAAGATCACAATAGCACGGATTTTGTCAGCAAAGTTCGAGTCGAACGCAGAAAGGTAAAAATTTTTTATCTTTTCATATATTTTTACAAGAAATGTTGAAATGTTAGTATGCTTATTCACAAGTCGAACCATTTTCGCTGAGCATGCTTGAATGTCTCAGAAGTGAGACACAAACAACTGTGCGATTCTGAATCATAAAATTATTTTTTTTTTTTACTTTTATAAATGGCATCAACAAATTCCGTCTAATGTTTCAGACCTTGCTCCTGCTTCATATAAATAGTTTCGTTACATAATGAAGTCCTGCCTCAGCAAAATTCACTACCAAACTTCAGTTGTTATTGTGAAAGTTATAAAACAAATGCTGAAGAAACCACCCGATCAGCATTTTTCCATATGCAGGTTGAAACACGCTCTTATACATTTTTTTAACAAGCTGCTGTTCGTCTTAAAAGATCTTTGCTTTGTAAATAATTTTTAACACACGATGAACTATTTAAAAATAATCTCTTCTCGATTTTTTTCAATTTCCAGGCTCAAAAACCAAGGATAGAGAAATTAAGGCGCGACAGAATTAATGGAAGCTTGGATGAAATCAAGCATTTGGTACTGGAGGCTCTGAATAAAGATGTAAGTACTCAAATAATGTCGGTGTAATTCTGGCAGATTGGATTTAAAGAAGAGAGATTAAACAATGTATACTTTAAATATTAAATGTGTTTTAAATGTAATCTGTATAGTAACCAGCATAGTAAAGTTTGGTTTTAATTACTTTATCTGTAGAGAAAATAGCCCTCTGCAGTGGCATTTCTAAACCGTTTTCGTGGAAACCGATCTCTCTATAGCAATGAGATGCGTTCTTCTTTCTTTAGTAAGAAATCAATACTTAAGTAAGATTTTACTCCGCTATTATTTAGATTTCAAGTTATTCAAAGATGGAAAAAGCTGACATTCTAGAGATGACAGTGCAGTTTTTGAAAGGAACACACGCAAGAAAAACAATGCAAGCAGGTTAGTAAAGTTTAAGTTTCGTCATCAAACATAGATTTGGTCAACAGAAACTTCATTAATTTTTTCAACAGTGAGATACATTGGTCACGCCGGGCGATCGCTTACCAGTTAAAAGAGAACAAAAAACGGAAACATTCGCATCAGAGACAAAAAATTGTCACAGCTGGAAAGCGAATATTTATTTAATGACGTTAGTAAAAATGTGACAAAATTGGAACGAGTTACGTTAATAAACGTCACTATCTCAGACAGGATGTTTGTTTTCAGAGATGTTGTTGTTTGTAAGCCAGACAGTCACTTATCCTACCCAACCACGAAAGTTTGTGTTGTCCGTTTATGTAAAATCCAAACTCCATATGAGATCTGATATATGCCTTGAGTGGTTGTTTTAACAACTTGAATGGTTGTTTTAAGTCAAAACCTCTCTGCTTTAAAACTTGTTTTATTTTTAAATGCTGAACACGAATTCCATCTGCTACAGCTCAGGTGAAAGACATTTTAAGATATAAGATTAAATCATCACAACAACAAATCACAAAAAGGGAATTTATCTGTTATATTATTTTAATAAAAAATTGTTCCTAAATGTATAGAAGCCAACAGCAAAAATTTGTGATAAGCGTTGCCTGGGCTTAGTACTAAAATATTTTGAATAATTTATATTTGAAACTAAAGCAATCAGTATCATTTTCTAGGGATAAGATCGAGAGTTGAACACACGACAGAGCACAAAGATTCTTCCACTCAAGAAAGGCATTTGCCTGCAGCTCCACAAATGCCTTGCCTGTCACAAGATGCACTTCTCATGGGCATGACCGCTGATATGAAACCCATTCCACTACTGTCACATGCCATGTCACCTTTCGTCTCGGGCCCCATGGTTGCCATGACACCCCAACCAACCATTGTATGGCTTCCTTACCCTTCACCGCCTCCGTCACCCTCGGAGAAAACAAATGAAGTTGCTGACTCGACAATTCAACAGGACACGGCCACACAAACCGGAAATGAAAACGGCATTTTTTCAAAAACTTGCTTAAGTCCGCCAGTGACGTCACCTAGCAACGCAATGTTACCAGTTTGGAGGCCGTGGTGACCAGCTTGAGGAAAAGAACAATTGTAATAATTATTCCCGAGAAATGTTTAGCAAGATATAGGGTATTTTATGAATGAAACCCTTAAAGTTCAAAGAGCGGGAATCAAACTTTTCAATTCAATACATTCAGTGAACGTAAATTTCTCATCACTAGTGCAATAAATTGTTATTTTATTCACATTGTTGTGTTTAACTTTGTATAGCAACATTCTTTAACCCTTCACATTTCTTTCCTTTTTGGACTGATTTCTTATGCTACAACTGTTTAATAATTCAGAGAATATATTTAGGGATAAATCAAGAAAATATCCAATTCTTGTTGATAATCTTTGTTCGTGACCCATGGGCTCAATAATCTATTGATATTGGAGAAATAAGAATTTGATCACTCTGGAACCAATTACTGAGAATTGGCCTAAATTCTAATCTTCAGCCGAGAAATAAAGCTAATTGTTGAAACTTGAGATTTGCAAAATTTACTCATGGCTGAGAAATGTGCTGGTAGCTGAGAAATCACCGGAAATTCAACTGGTGTCTGAGATCTCAGCACCTGTCAGAGTCCTAGAATTATAATTATTATTACACGGCAAATAAAAACTTTATCAAACCCCCGAGGTGGTGGGGGGTGGAGTGTACTCCTTTATATGGGCTAAATAGGTATGAGCGGTCTGGTCTGAAAAAGGTGATAGATTTTGCCAGTTTTGGTCTGAAATAGGGTGTGCTCTTTACTCTGGCTTGACACTGGGTATTTTGCTTACAAGGAACTAATTTTTTCGAATCAATATTGATTTGTAGCTCTTCTCATCCTTGCATACAGCTGGCGCGCCTGAGATATGAATTGAGTAATCAAGATCCAGAAGGCTGGAAAACTGAACTGTCCTGACGTCAGTGTATGTTAAGAGAAAAGACATCGAGGTCGAGCAACATTTCTCACTAGAGACAGCATGGAATATTCCCGAAAAGGAACTTATAATTCCACAAATCATAACAGTAACTTTTGTTAATATCTAATAGGGTTACAAGTCTTAGTAGCTCGGAGCTAGCAGAGCTATTCTGGGCGAGCTGCTGTCACTTTAACCGAACTATCTTTACTTTAGTTAAAAGAGAGAATAGGAGAAAAAAGGAATTGAATGAATTTGAGAAGATAAACAAAATTAAACCAAAATATTTTACATAACACATAATTTAGTTATCAAGTAACGAAACACGGTTGACGTACAGCAAATATTAATTAACAATAATAATCGAGAACAAACTGGACTGAAGAGCTCCTTAAAGCGGTTTTCAATTGAGTGCCGTAAATCCAAAACCAAACCAATTACTTACTAATTAGACTACTCAGCCAATCTCAAACCATAGTAAAACCAAAACCAAAACCAAAGTAATTGTCTAATTACTTTCGACACTCAATTGAAAACTGCTCCAATTAAAGAGTGAGAGATACTTAGAGATTTCAATATGCGCATATTAGCATTTATCTCCTCATTTTCGAGATCAGATTGTAAAAAGTGAAAAAAAAAAAAGATACATTTTGCAAATGTTTTTTGCAAAGTTTTTGCATTTCTCCAAACTTTTAATTTGGCGCTAAAACTGGGTCGTCCGGCCGCATCCGACAACTCGCTCGTCGCTCGTCGAATGTCGCCAGGTAGGAAAATAGCTGTGTTATTTTGAGCAAAATATGTTATTCCTCGTCAAATTAAACCCAGAATTCTCGTTTTAAGTATTAGAAGAGACCTAAGCAGCTTGGAAATTGTCTTTATTTCTGTTAGCCTGCGAAGAAAAAGACTAGTATCGCGTCGTTTCGGTAGGGCAGTTTGGTTTTGACTGCCGCTCGAAATATGCGGGTGCAGTCGCCGTATGCAAGGATGTTTACACAAATAGAAGCCATTTCTACATTTATAGTTACGTAGCTACAGACATATTTATAGCCTTTTACTAATTTTAGAGGTCTGAAATGGGTATCGTGTTTTCCTTCAGTTCTGAATAAAGGTATGGAAAGTCACAGATTTTGGTCTAGAATGGGGAACAGGTCTCAAGCTTGGTTTCAAGGTTCGGGCTGCACATCCCCTCCACAAACTTTGGGGAGTAAACCCCGGATCAAAAGCGGCAGTTTTCCTCAGTCTCAGTAGCGCGCCTGAATAGAACGATCCCGCTGTAATTGATGAGGCTGGAGAACGTGGAACTTAGCTCTAAGAATACCTTGGTGTCATGCTGCACCACAAAGACTATTTTGTATAGTCATGCATGGACGCGATTATCGTCTCCGTTCTCTTCTGTTTTTAGTTCGGTTTATTGTCTATCTGGTGGTTGTTCCTGGCGCCGACGCGATTGTCTCTGAAAGAAATTGGATAAAATTCAATTCCAAAGCTTGTTTTGGACCGGATATGAATTGTTCATGCCTTTTGACTCCCTCTCGTCAAGGAAGCTGCATAAGATCTTTTTTACATGACGTCACGGCAGCCATACTGGTTTTCTTAAGCAACGGAATTTCTCTCCTTTGTTGAAAGAGCTCTTTTCTGATATCTGCAAATATGTCGTACTGAAAGTTATTTTTCAGAATTTCGGCTCATCCTGACGGTTGCAGGAACCACTCAGCTGGTTTCTTAGATAATATTTTTTTTACGTGACACG